GAGTGACTTGGACTAAACATTTTCCAGAAATGGAAGAAACAGTACCATCTGCAATCCTAACTTTGTCCTGACCTGAAGAGGGCTTATAGGCAGAGAAAAGATCAGAGGAGCCAGACATATGATCTGAGGCGCCAGAATCAATAATCCAAGGCAAATACTTATGATACAGGAAAACACAAGGAGAAGAGACTAAGTTACCTGAGCGGACAAAGGATAAGGAAGCTGTACTGAGAGCAGTAGAAGACCGGCGGTCCAACAATTGGCGCAGAGCATCCTCAAGCTCAGAATCAGAAGCTTAGCCAACTGAAGCAGAATTAGAATCAAGTGTATCAACGGCACTAGACTGATGAGCCCGGGATTAGGAACCACGTCCTCTAGACTGGCCTGACCGACCTCCTCTAGAACCAAACCGATCACCTCGACCCCCGGATGGAGTCCCATGAAGCTTCCAACACGTTTCACGAGTATGCCACGGCTTCTTACAATAATCACAAAATACAGACTCCTTAGCAGCAGAAGGAGGGATGGGAGTCAGGCTGACGCCATCTCGAGGAGTAGACAGTAATGCTGAGCAGTCAGTAGAGACAGGGGACATCATAGCAGACCGGCAACTCTCCTCATTCTGTACATAGGCAAATGCCTCCTGAAGTGAAGGAAAAGTGTCCATACCCAGAACTCGACCCATAACTGGATCATACTCCATATTTAGGCCTGCCAGAAATTTAAAGACCCGTTCCTGTGCGATGAACTTGTACCCGACAGAATCAGCCGGGCAAACAGGCTTATAGTCTTGCAAGTGGTCAAGGCGTTTCCAGCCATTGGTGAGGAAAGTGAAATACTGAAGAACAGTCTGCTCCCCCTGAAGTGAGCTCTCAATAGAGCGGCGCAACTCAAATGCCTGTGAGAAATTCCCTTTGCGGGAACAGGTGGCAGCCACAGCATCCCAAACATCCTGGGCAGTCTCCATAGACAAGTAGCCCTCACCAATGTCAGGAACCATCGAATGAATAAGCCAACCCATAATCAAAGAGTTGGTAATCTCCCATTGGACATAACCCGAGTCAGTGGTACTAGGTGCCTGTATTCGGCCATTAACATACCCCATCTTCCCTCTGCTCTTCAAAGATATAGTCAAACTTTGAGACCATGCTAGGTAGTTCTGACTATTAAATAGGGAGGTGGTGATTTTCAGACTAGGGTTGGGGTTCTCAGTCATGGTAGTAGGTATAATGGGACTCTCACTCCTCGGTGTTTGAGAAGTAGGGGACACACTGGTGGAATCTTCCATGCATACTATACTACCGAACCCGCAACAAAACTAGTGGCAATCACAAACCCGGAAGGTGGTGGTGAAAGAACAGGCACAATAACCACTATAAAAGCATAACAAAATTAAGAAACCATTTTGTTATTTTTTGTTTTTTTTTTTTTTAGTTATTCATTTATATATTTATTGGTACGATGTTTATATACAACATAGGTATACCAAACAGAGATGAGAGTATACCAGAGCCAGAGAAGGAGATCAACGGACTAAGGAAGGTCGACGAGCTGAGGAGATCGACAGAGGAAGGCAGCTGAGTGACGAAGGCGACAGAGGAAGGCGGCTGAGTGACGATCGACTGAGAGACGGCTGAGTGACGATCGACAGAGAAAGGCGAGGCAAAGACGACGGCGACTGAGTGATGAAGACGAAGCAGAGATCGATGATGAGAGACGGCTGAGTGACGATCGACAGAGGAAGGCAAAGCAGAGACCACGGCGACTGAGTGATGAAAACGAAGCAGAGATCAACGAGCTGCTGATCAACGCAGCAGATGATCAACCTAGGTAAGTTTTCGAACCCTAGAGTGTCGTTGGTGCAAAGGTCGACCAACAAGGGTGAGACGAAACCCTAGAGGTTCTGCTCTAATACCATGAAGCTTGAGTAATCAGCTTAGGGTTTGATAGGATATCATCCCCTATTTATATAGATGAAGATTAGGGTTTGTAACAATTACAAGATGAGACAATTACAAGATGAGCCCTGAGGGCATAGAATAATTACAAACCAATAACTCAGATAATAATATAATATGCTAACAGAAGCTTGGCCAACAGAAGCAGAATTAGAATCAAGTGTATCAACGGCACTAGACTGATGAGCTCGGGAATAGGAACCACGTCCTCTAGACTGGCCTGACTGACCTCCTCTAGAACCAAACCGATCACCTCGACCCCCGGATGGAGTCCCATGAAGCTTCCAACACGTCCACGAGTATGCCGCTGCTTCCTACAATAATCATAGAATATAGACTCCTTAGCAACAGACGGAGAGATGGGAGTCGGGTTGAGGCCATCTCGAGGAGTAGACAGTAATGCTGAGCGGTTAGTAGAGACAGGGGACATCATAGCAGACCGGCAACTCTCCTCATTCTGTACATAGGCAAATGCCTCTTGAAGTGAAGGAAGAGTGTCTATACCCAGAACTCGACCCCTAACTGGATCATACTCCACATTTAGGCCTGCCAGAAATTTAAAGACCCGTTCTTGTGCGATGAACTTCTTGTACCTGACAGAATCAGCATGGCAAACAGGCTTATAATCTTGCAGGTGGTCAAGGCGTTTCCAGCCGTTGGTGAGGAAAGTGAAATACTGAAGAACAGTCTGCTCCCCCTGAAGTGAGCTCTCAATAGAGCGGCGCAACTCAAATGCATGTGAGAAATTCCCTTTGCGGGAATAGGTGGCAGCCACAGCACCCCAAACATCCTGAGCAGTCTCCATAGACAAGTAGCCCTCACCAATTTCTGGAACCATCAAATGAATAAGCCAACCCATAATCAAAGAGTTGGTAATCTCCTATTGGTCATAACCCGGGTCAGTGGTACTAGGTGCCTGTATCCTGCCATCAACATACCCCATCTTCCCTCTGCTCTTCAAAAATATAGTCAAACTATGAGACCATGCTAAGTAGTTCTGACCATTAAATAGAGAGGTGGTGATTTTCAGACTAGGGTTGGGGTTCTCAGTCATGGTAGTAGGTATAATGGGACTCTCACTCCTCGGTGTTTGAGAAGTAGGGGACACACTGGTAGAATCTTCCATGGATACTATACTATCGAACCCACAACAAAACTAGTGGCAATCACAAATCCGGAAGATGGTGGTGAAAGAACAGGCACAATGACCACGATAAAGGTATAACAAAATTAAGAAACCATAAAGGCTTTTTTTTTTTCTTTTTTTTTTTTTAGAGTTTTTATTTATTTATATATGTATTGGTATGGGTATGTTTATACACGACATAGGTTATACCAAACAAAGATGAGAGTATACCAGAGAAGGAGATCGATGAACTGATGACGAGATCGATGAAGGAGATCGATGAATTGATGACGAGATCGACGAGCTGAGGAGATCGACGAGCTGAGAAGATCGACGAAGTGAGGATCGACTGAAGAGGACGAAGTGAGGATCTTCGAAGACGAAGGAGATCGACGAACTGACCAAGCAGAGGAGGTCGACCGACGAGAAGCGATGACGGAAGCTACGAGAAGAGATGATAGCATCGGAGGAGTCGACTGAGGCTGAAGACCAACTCAGGTAAGTTTCAAACCTTAGAGTGATCGTTGGTGCTAATTTCGACCAACAAGGGTGAGCCGAAACCCTAGACAAGCATCAACCCACCCGAATACGTGGGTCTTTGTCTGCGTGAGCTGAAGCCCCTCCGGTGGTGGCTGGTGGCGCCGATTTGTAATAGGAACAGTATGAGCAACTAGGGTTAGGTATTAGAGTTTTGCTCTAATACCATGATGATTGTAGAGAGTAACCAATTTAGGGTTTGATTAGGATCATCCCCTATTTATATTAATGAAGATGTGGACAAATTACAATAGAGCCCTGAGGCATAGAATAATTACACACACTCAGAAAGTAATGTGATAATATAATATATGCTAACATAACTAACATAATCCTATCACCTTTTCTAATGACCACAACTACATTTTCTACAAGATTCTTAGCAACTATTATTCTTACCCCATTCCTGTATCTATCCTTACCATTATAATATAGCTTAAAACTGGTATCTTCCATTTCCCAAGCTTTCTCATCCTTCCACTTCGTTTCTTGTACGCAAGCTATACTAACTCTTCTCCTAATCAAGACATCTATCAATTCCATAATCTTACCAGTTAAAGTTCCTATATTCCATGTGGCTACCCTAAATCTATAATCTTAGACTAGCTTCTTTATCTGCGCTCGTCCAGAAAAATGCGGAAACCTTTGCCCATTTTTCACCACACCCAGGCGTCGATTCAGCGCCCCATGCTCATCTATATCTCTAGTGTTATTAAAGTTATGCTCCATGTATTCAAACTTCATTTTATTGGTCATTGATTCTAGAGCTCCTTCCCAAGCATCTAATTTAACATTTAGCCCTACATTAGTTTATAAAATTCAAATATATATAGTATCTAAAGCGGAAAGATAAGAACTTAGTGTTAATCCTTGATGTAAGCCTACAGCTATAGAAAGTTCACTTGTTTATCGTGCAATTGTTCTTATTTCAAGAATAGCTCCTTTACACATGCTCATTATTATACAAGAAATGTCTGGCCTCTAATGATTAAGTGACAAATTATTCAAAGAACAAAAAATAGGTCTCATCTACATATGCTAGAAGGAAAGGCCAAAACTATTTTAATCCTATATAAATATGAAGATAAGAACTTGCCAAAAGGTTTGAATTTTCAGCAATGTATAAGAAGTGACAGGTACAAAATAAAAGAAACAAAATATCATTCCATAAGAACTTGCCAATAGGTTTAAAGTTTTAGCAATGCATAAGAAGTGACAGGTACAAAATATCATTCCAGCTGCATAGTAGTATCTTAATGAGGGGAAAAAGGCTCGATGGATACAAAATATAATTTAAACAAATGACACAAATTACAATCATTTCACAATAAGAACAAAACACATCTCATCTTTGCATAACGATTTTGGAAACAACATACCCAACTTGTGAGCTCCTTAACAACTAGCTTCCATATATCTCGAATAGAAGCCAGGATTGCAATATGAGCACTGACATGTGAACTGCTTGAAGCTTTCTCATATAAACTCTTAAAACCCTGTTCCAACAACATATTGCATGGAGTCCATCTGACCAATACCTAGATCATTAATTGCATGGAGTCCATCTGACCAATACCTAGATCACTCAACAATAACTTGATCCATAAGAGCTCACACTCTCCTTGTGCCATAACTCTAAACTCAGCTTCTGCACTTAACCTGGCAACCACATTATGCTTCTTACTCCTCCAAGTAACTAGATTGCCTCCAACAAAGGTGCAATACCCTGAAGTCAATCTCCTATCAGTTACTCATCCAGCCCAGTCAGCCTCTGTATAGGCTTCCACACGAAGATGATCATACTTTGAAAAATAAAGACCCTTACCAAGAGCAGATTTCAAGTACCTCAAAATTCTCATGACAGCCTCGAAGTGAATCTGACGAGGAGCATGCATAAATTGACTAACTACACTGACAGCAACAGTAATATCAGGACAGGAGTGAGATAAGTAAATGAGCTTACCCACTAATCGCTGATAGCTCCCCCTATCAACAACTCCTCCTCCTTCATCATCCCCCAATTTTTGATTGGGTTCCAGTGGAGTGTCACAGGCCTTGCAGCTAAGCATTCCAGTTTCCTTCATCAGGTGAAGCACATACTTTCTCTGTGAAATAAATATCCCATCCTTAGAGCGAGCAACTTCAATTCCCAAAAAATACTTCAAGCTTCCCAAGTCTTTGATTTCAAACGCACTAGCTAAATATTTCTTCAACAGACTTATTTCGTCACTATCATCGCCCGTAAGAACTATGTCATCTATATAAACAATAAGTGTTGTAGTCTTACCACGTGAGGAATGTTTCACAAACAAGGTGTGATTTGTCTGACTCTATTTGAAGCCATATTTAAGCATAGCTTGAGTGAATCTCTCAAACCAAGCCCTTGGAGACTGTTTGAGACCATATAATGACCTCTGAAACCTGCATACTTTGCCTTCTGTCTGATGATTCCCAAAACCAGAAGGAATGTCCATATATAGCTCTTGTTTGAGGTCACCATGGAAAAAGGCATTCTTTACATCAAACTGATGAAGTGGCCAATCTAGATTAGCTGCTAGAGAGAGAAGTATTCTAACTGAATTCATCTTAGCCACGGGTGCAAAGGTCTCCTGATAGTCAACGCCATATGTCTGAGTGTACCCTTTTGCCATAAGTCTTGCCTTATAACGCTCAATAGAACTATCCACTTTGTGTTTCACAGTATACACCCATTTGCATCCCACAGGTCGTTTGTCCGCAGGTAACTCAATCAATTCCCAAGTGTCATTCTTTCTAAGTGCTTTCATTTCCTCAATCATAGCAAATTTCCACTCAGAGGTAGCAAGAACATCCTGAAAATGGTTAGGAATGCTAACAGATGAAATATTTGACACAAACGCTCTATATGAGGATGACAAATGAGAGTAGGACACAAAATGTGAAATAGGATGTTGAGTAGAAGATCTCACGCCCTTTCTCTTGGCAATAGGAATATCAAGATCAATAGACTCAAGAGATTCAAAGTTACATGGACTCTCATCAGAAGTAGGAGATGGCAGTGGAGGAACAGAAATGGCCTTTTGTATCCAGTTAACTTTCTGTCTGTCTTTGTCTCTGACATAAACTTGCCCTTTTTAAGTAGAATAGTAACCAAGGAAAACACATTTAAAGGAGCAAGGGTCCAACTTACCACGAGTAGGAGAGTGATTATGAATAAAACAGACACAGTCAAATATTTTGGGAGGAATAAAAAACAAGGGTTGGGAACGAGGAGGACTTGAAGAGGAGCTTGTTTTTGCAAAACCTGGGTAGGAAGACGATTAATAAGATGGGCAACGGTAAGAACAGCGTCGCCCCAGTAGGATCGAGGCACACTCATAGAAAAACACATGCATCGAGCCATGTCAAGAAGATGGCGATTCTTATGTTCCGCCACCCCATTTTGTTGAGGGGTATTGGTACAAAAGGTCTGATGGATAATGCCATGAGTAGAAAAATATTGCCCTAACCCAGAATCTATGTATTCACCCCTATTATCAGAACGGACTATTTTGACAGTGGCCCCAAACTGAGTACAAATCAATTGATGAAAATTGCGAAATACAAAGAAAACCTCACTCTTGTCTTTCATGAGATACACCCAAGTAGTACGAGAAAAATCATCAATAAATGTAACAAACCATCGATGACCTTTCACAGACATAACACGAGAGGGACCCCAAACATCAGAATGTATTAATGAAAAAGGAACTAAACTTTTATTAAAACTGGGAGCAAAAGAAACTCCGTGTTGTTTCCAAGTTGACAAGACTCACAAAGAAACTCAGACATATTATTGTTTGCGAAACCAGATGAAAATAAATGCTTAAGTAAATAAAAAGAAGGATGCCCAAGACGCCAATGCCACAGCCATAAATCATCTTGGGTAGTAGGACTCGTGGTGGAAGAATAAGCAAGCTTGTCCGGTTGATTCAGGAAGTAGAGACCATTTTCTGCACTATCACTGCCAATCGTCCTCCTCGTGACAAGGTCCTGAAAAAGACAATGATCAGGAAAAAACGTCACACTACAATTCAAATCCTAGTTAATACGACTCAAGGATAACAGGTTAACAGAAAAATTGGAAACATGGAGAACAGAAGATAGAGGTGTGGTAGGAGTGACATGGATTAAACCTTTCCCAGAAATGGAAGAAACAGTACCATCTATGATCCTAACTTTGTCCTGACCTGAAGATGGCTTATAGGCAAAGAAAAGGTCAAAGAATCCAGACATATGATATGAGACACCAGAATCAATAATCTAGGACAAAGACTTATAAGATAGGAAAACATGAGGAGAAGAGACTAAATTACCTGAGCGGGCAAACGACGAGAAAGATGTACTGAGAGCAGTAGAAGACTGGCGGTCCAGCAAGTGACACAGAACATCCTCAAGCTCAGGAGTAGTCATGCCACAGAGACCATCAGAAGCCTGGCCAACGGAAGCGGAAGTAGTATCAAGTGTATCAACGACACTAAACTGATGAGCTCGTGGATGGGAGCCACGTTCTCAAGACTAGCCTGACCGACCTCCTCTAGTACCAGACCGATCACCTCGATCCCCGGATGAAATCCCATGAAACTTTCAACACGTCTCACGAGTATGCCGCGACTTTTTATAGTAATCACAGAATACAGACTCCTTGGCGGCAGACGGAGGGATAGGAGTCAGGCTGAGGCCATCTCTAGAGGTAGACAGTAATGCTGAGCGGTCGGTAGAGACAGGGGACATCATAGCAGACCAGCGACTCTCCTCATTCTGTACATAGGCAAATGCCTCCTGAAGTGAAGGAAGAGTGTACATACTCAGAACTCGACTCCGAACCGGATCATACTCCACATTGAGACCAGCCAAAAAACTTAAGACCCTTTCCTGTGCAATAAACTTCCGGTACCCAACTGAATTAGCAGTGCAAATAGGCTTATAATCCTGCAGTTGATCAAGGCATTTCCAGCCATTAGTGAAGAAGGTGAAGTACTAAAGAACTGTCTGCTCCCCCTAAGCAGAGCTCTCAATAGAGCGGCGTAACTCAAATGCTCGTGAGAAATTCCCTTTGCGAGAATAGGTGGTAACCACGGCATCCCAAACATCCTGGGCAGTCTCCATAGAGAAGTAGCCATCGCCAATGTCTGGCACCATCAAATGAATAAGCCAACCCATAATCAAATAGTTGGTAATCTCCCATTGGTCATAACTCGGGTCAGTTGTGCTAGGTGCCTATATCCGGCATCCACATACCCCATCTTCCCTCTGTTATTCAAAAACATAATCAAACTCTGTAACCACGCAAGACAGTTCTGACCATTAAATAGAGAGGTAGTAATTTTAAGACTAGGGTTGGGCCTATCAGTCATTGTAGTAGGTATAGGGAAACTCTCACTCCTAGGTGTCTGAGAAGTAGTGGACACATCGGTAGAATCTGCCATAGATACTGTACTACCGAACCCTCAACAAAACTAGTGTCAATCACAAACCCGGACAGTGGAGGAATACAAACACATTGACTACTAAGAAAAATTAAAGACTTAAAAATTTCATCAACCCTTTTTTTTCTTTTGTTTTTTTTTCTTTACTGCATTTTTCTTTTTTTTTAGATTAAAGGGGAAAAACGAAGCAGACGTTTAGTTGTTGAATATAGACCACAAAATGTAACTCAGCTTACATATCACGTAACTCAGCGAAGCAGAGGTTTAGGTGTCGATAGGGACAGACGACAGGGACAAACGACAACGAACTCACCCTTTCTCATCCCTCACCAACAACGCTAACGCCAGGAGGCTTGACGGCAGTGGTCGACTGGGTTAGGAGAGCCCAATGACTGGCTCTGTAGTGGCCAACTGGGCTGGGAGAGCTCAACGACGACTGGCCCTGTGGTGGCTCTATGTGTGTCGACTGGCTCTGTTGACAACTGGCTCTGGGACGAAAACCAAAGGGGTGTGACGCCTGGCTCTGTAGTGGTGACTGACGACTGTATAGGTGAGGAATTTAGGTTTTCGGATTTTGCTTTGATACCATGTTATTTTCAGAGAATTCCAAGATTAGGGAATGATTAGGATATCATTCCCTATTTATAATAATAAAGATTAATAATTACAAGGGAGCCCTAAAGCATAGAATAATTACAAAATAATAATCCAAATAATAACATATTATGCTACCAGTGACCTCTTTTTGCAACACCCTCAATCTGAACCATATCACCCTTTCCCGCTGGTACACTTACAATGTTTGCAACGCATGGCCAAGCCATCCAAACCAGTTTTCTCTCATCGTGCCCAACAACACTGCCTACAACGTCTTACAAGTATATCTTGCCTCCAAATATGTACCCAAACAGCAATGGCACCCATAGAATATATATGGAAAGTTCAGAAGTTCTGTTTGCCTCACTTTTAAAGGCTTATAGTGCACACTTCTGGGTTGCATTTTGTCCTTTGGGACAGTAAGCCTGGAGTGAAGTCATAACAAGGTAGCCATACTAAACATAGCTTGACAAAGGTGTAACTCATGAAGTACAGAATTATTAAAAAATGAAAATAAGAAGAAAGAAAGTGATTATACTTGGTGGGAGAAAAAATAATTACATCTAATGACATCAATCACGCTAAGCATCATACGAAACGAAAAAAGTAACATCACAAGTGAATAGTATTAACAAGCTTTCAAACAGTTACTTAGCAAACGAAGAACAAGAGATAGCTATTGTGCAGAAGGAAATTAATACCAAGCCAACATCAATTTCACCTTCAACTCCTGGCAAATTTCCAAAACTGTAATGCTGGAAATTTGTGTTAATGCATATAATAAGATAGTGGCATATGATAGTGGTGTTGGTGGTAGATAGTGGCATGTATAGAATATGATAGTGGTGTTGGTGGTAGATAGTGGCATGTATAGAATATGATAGTGGTGTTGGTGGTAGATAGTGGCATGTATATAATATGATAGTGGTAGATAGTGGTAATATATAATATGTAAGTGGCATATAATGGGTTATAATGATGTTTGTAATATCTCCTATATAAGGAGTGTCATTTGGTCTTGTAAAATAAGAAGTTTTGAATATAACAGAAATATATTCCTTCTTCCTCATATTTTCGGAGTTCTTCTTCCTCATATTTTCTAAGTTGTAACAATGTTGCCTTGATCTGTTTTCATCGTATCAATGAATCCTCGCAACACAAGCTTGGTATTAGATTGCCAAAGCTGAAGCATGATACCACTTCCAGCAGCATCACCAACTATGATGGGAAAAACAGTGGAAAACACTTCCCATTGGAGCAGATTATAGGGAGTCTGCAAAGGCATAACATGATTTCATCACTTACCAAACATATTATCAAAAGAATAGAGAAATAAAAATGGGAAGAAAATACATTAATCTGGGCAATCCCAAGCAACAAAAGCTCAGGGCATTGTTTAAGAGGTAACTCCAGAATCTGTCGAACATATTTAGCCTGGCCCCTTTCAGCTAGCTGACACAGCACCTCCAGAAGGTCAAGAGATAACCATGCATGGTTTGCAAGTCCATGTGGAACCTCATTAACTTTCCATCCATTAGCACATGCCCACAGAAAAACAAATTCTGCACCATTTAATTTAAATAGCAAAGAAAACAACAACAAATTAAGAAAACTATAAATAGACATGAAAATGCAGCAATCCATACCAGTTTCCTAGCAGAATAAGAAAATGTAAATATTTCTGGTGATGCTGATACAGCATATCTGAGAAAAGATAATTGACCATCAACATTCTTCCAGACAGACCTGCATATGGCATGCAGCGGAAAGGGATCCTGCGTAAATTATTTTCTACTGATCAAGGACTAACTTCACAGAAAGTAACTAGTGTTGAGTCTCCAATAGAGAAGCATAAATATGATACCTGACATGCACGAAGATAAATGGACATGAAAAGAAAACATGCTTGCTCACTGGGAATGTAAAAACTCTCATGGTCCAGATTCTCCACAACATTTATCCAGTTGATGTTAGGAGCCTGCTCTCAGAAAATAATAATCTAGGTAAGAAACCAATTTTTCCTTGGCTCGTTGTTAATACCAGAAGATAATAAACATTAGAAGTTAAATTGCAAATCAAACTTACAAGTTGCTTAATCAAATCCACAAGGACATGAACATTCCAAGAGCTCAGGCATGATGCCTCACATGTGGCACTGCTACCAATGGCAGAGTAGAGTGTTAAACAACAATTCTGGTTGTCCTCAAGACCAGTATGGGTGCGAGTAATTGTGCCAAGTATTCTAGAAACTGTGGCTTCAGTGAGAGGCAAGAAGAGAGATAACACCTCATTGCAATGCGAAGCGTCAACAGTGCATCCATTGCCCAGTTCAGACATAATATCAGCCATGCTGGTTTCACTCACCATCTCCGCTAAAATGGCATCAAACTCATTTTCTCTGCAACCATAGAATATCTCCGTATTCCTACAGCAACCACAAATGGCACAGAGACAATTAGGAGGGCTACTACTAAACTAAACTGTAGAATATAGCAAACAATAAATTTCATCACTTCATGGTTCATCAGAAGAGAACAAATAATGGAGAGATGAGAACCTGGCATCATAGAAATCATCAGAAAGCAATAGGGCTAATATTAGTGGAGTCCTCTCCTTTGGCTCCATCAAAGACAGTAGTTGCATAAATGAGTCAACATGCTTAGAAAGGCCTTCTGAGCGAATCAAAAACATAATAATATTTTGAATTTGCTCGGAAGAATCTATAACAGCAGAATTTCTCCACAACTCCTCAATCTGGCCCATGCAGAAGTTTTGGCCTGAGAAACAATCAACAGTTAATCAAATCATAATTTGCAAAGTGGATGAACCACAAACAAAGGATACCACAAAATATATAAATATATATATCCATATAATGTACCACTTGTCCTGATCTCAACATTCTCGGAGTCAGCCAAAGCAAGGCCAATTCCAATTTTTTCAAACACCCACAAGTGTAATTCATCACAAAAATCCGTGAGAAGTTGTTCACTTATCACCATGGTCTACTAAAATTTGGCCATTGCAGTAAATATCTAAAGATTGCAGCTACTAAATCTGGCTTAAGCTGCACGTTGTGCACGTCTCCCTCACGAAAATTTATATGATCCAAGCAGGTTTGAAGCAGCAATATACTACCCTCGCATCCATATTCAAAAAACTACACCAACAAAAAAAGAACAAGCAATGAGTTAATCAATTAGAAATGCTTGCACTAGACCATGAAATATTTCCATTCACAAATCACAAACCCATCACCAGAAACACTAAAACTGACTCATCACATCCATAGTTGTTAAAGGCACACCTAGGCCCCAAAAAGAGTACCAAGCTAGTCAAGATCAAAGAAAGTGTCTCATTCTCTGCTAGATTCCAAGCACCAGAAATATACACCTCTTTTCTTTTCTTTTCTTTTTTTAAATCCAACTATATCTTCATCTTTACTTTCTAATTTTCCCACACTCACTGATTGAATTTCCTTATATCATATTCATGGACCTGTATATATATTACTGTGTACTCATTTTTCATATATTTCTTATTTCATTATACATTAATGAGCTTATGCTTGACTACTTGATAATGCATAATTATTAGTGTTTACAAATATACTTAAAAGGGTACAATTATTTTTTGCATTATTACAAATATGCAATCGGTATTTTATTTAGTGGATGCATACCTATAATTGCAAAAGTTACATGTATATCCATTTACTTAATTCTCTTTGCTGATATATCAAAGATTATTCCTTCTTCTTTTTTTTTCAATCGTGTTACATATTTCCATTTGTTTTTATTTGCAAGTGTATTTAATATGCAAGCCTATCGCATGTGCTCCTTACTTCATTGAAGCACGCACTTTACTTTGCGCCTTGCAAGAGCTTAAATCGTTGAGGCTTTAACAACTATGATCACATCATTCTCGGGATAATGAAAAATCAAATCAACTCAAACCAAACCAATAAGGGGGGAAAAAAAAAACTCTTTTAAACTACATAAATTCTAACGGTGAACAGATACATACTGTATGTATGAAAATGTACGTGTGTGTCTGAATTGGAAGCCTCGAATTCAAGTAATGATTCAGTTGATAAAATGCAGTAGGAAACAACCATCGATTGTTTGGTAAACAAAAAAAATGAGGTCAAAGAAAGTTATCTGGCTCATTAAAAATGACAAATTCAGTGGAGTATTAGGCTATGATCATTGTGATGGACAGCAGAATAATCAAAATTCAAATACATTTTACAGTTTAAAGTGATCACGACTACGACAGGGTCATCATCACCATTCACTCTCGCGTGTATTATTACATTATGTGCATGTATATATACATACATATATATATATATATATAGAGAGAGAGAGAGAGAGAGAGAGAGAGAGAGAGAATGTGGAAGAAATACCTGAGTCGGAATTGGAATCGTTGAGGCTCTGCAACAAGAACCGGATTTGATTGGAGACGAGTGAAGAGAAATGTGTCATTGCGATTGTGAAATTGAATTGATCGACCGATCGAGATTGGTGAACTGGAGATTTGAGAGAGAGAGAGAGAGAGAGAGAGAGAGAGATAGGCTTTTGTTTTGAGGGGGAGTGTGAGAAAGAAGCCCTTGAGTTGAACTAGAATGGAATTATAAAAATCGGTTTAGATTGGTTAATAAATATGATATATATTTTGTTAGTAACAAATTATTGATAATTAATTGTACAATGAAGACGAGTGTTTTAATCTTATAATAGGCTTTTCATATTTTAATTTTTACATATAAAAGTATAAAAAAAATAATAAATAAATACGGTCTGGTTCAGTTTGGAATTATAACAAAAGTTTTGGAACCAAGAACGAACTAATTTGAATGGTTTCAGTATTTTTAGAACCAGAACCGAAACTAATAAAAATCAGACGAAATTGATGATTTAAACCAGATTCGTCAATTTATCGGTTTCGTTGATTTTTTTTAACATCCCCATAGCATGATAGGGATAAACAAATTTCGAATCAGGCTGGGTTTATACTATATAGCTAGAGAATATGAAGAAATTCTATTTACACCAAAAAAATATTTAAGTGAGCCCAATTTTTCAATACACCCTATTAAATTATTTAGGTTACAATTTATTTTCAGCTGCCTCATTTTTTTCCCAAATTATCCTTTTGAGGTATACCTAAATAAAACAAATTCAAAAATTCAAATTACTTTTGAAAAATCTTTATTTTGTTCGTGTACATACAAGGAACACAAACAGGGAACCCGACACCAATGAAAAAGCAAATGTGTAACAACCCTAACCCATAATTAACGCTAATTCATGCTTAATGTGCCTAACAAGAAATTAAAAAGAAATCCTGAGTTACTTATATGTGCATTGCATTATTTTGTGTTTATATCTGTTCAGCGTAGAAGCATCTGTTCATGTTTTAGTTTTGATATGCGAATTGAAGGTCTTATCGACATCTAATACAGAAATTGACTTGATTTATGTGTTAGTTAGAATTTTTAGAACCTTATGGTAGGTTTAATTGAAATTCAATTCAGAACGATTAAATTAGATTAATTTAATGCACATTTGATTTATTTTAGTTAATTGTCACCAAGAGAGCTCCTATAAACTCCTCACATGCTCCATTCATCTTTTCTTTCATTCATTGAAAATACACCTTTGAGCCTATACAACAAATACGTGGGAGAGAGAGAGAGAGAGCGAAGGAAAATTTAGATCAAAGGCAAGAGAAAGAGGGAGATTGCTAGGATTTGTTGGTGAATTAATGAGAATTAATGAGAATTTGAGAGCTACAACTTTATCACTAGTGAATTCAAGCCTCTAGGTAAGAATTTTGTCCTTAAGCCTTGAAGTCTAGACTCTAATGCATGAACACAAGAAAATTATGTAGAATAATGCAAGAATTGAGTTAGAAATGTAGAGTAGGGAGCCATACCATGCATGCATGTCCATTCCTTTACAAATTGAGTATGGTTTTCAAGAATTTCCTCATACATGTTTTGAATTCACTTTAATTTTAGGGAGTCATCAAGTTCCAAGTTGCTTTGTAACATTTGATCATGTTTTGAGAAGCTTAAGGCCAAAAGAATTCATGCATGTCATGTTCTTGGTTCATTCATGAACTTTTAGTTGAATTGTTGCATAATTGGCAAGCCATTAGGCCATGATTTTCTTGAAATGATCTTTAATTCATGTCGTTTTAAAGATTTTCATGTATTTTCCCAAGTCTTGACCCAAAAAAATCAAGTTTGATGCTTTAAAGGTTGAGTTTGAGCTTGAAGATCAAATCTAGAAATTCTAGAATTTGAATTCGCGCTCGAGCGAACACTCTGAGTGCGTGCACTTCCGCTCGAGCGACCTGATTCTCGCTCGAGCGTGAAATGCATATACCCAGAAGTTTGCATATTTTGCAACACGTTTGAGCGACAGAAGTCACGCTTGAGTGAGGGTCTGAGTCTCACGCTCGAGCAGGTATCGAGCGTCCGTCGAGCGTGAAATGCAAGCAACCAGTACTTTTTCAAAGTTTACAATCCGCTCGAGCGAAGGAAGTTATGCTCAAGCAAACCTTCACATTTTGCATGTCCGCTCAAGCGAGGAAAGCCACGCTCGAGCATGGACCCTATTTTCAACAAGTTTGAAAAATATTTTCAAATGCATATTTGCATCCGCATTCCATCCAAGGCATTCCTAGGCCATGATTAAGACCCCATAATAAGGTAGAAATGCACCAAAACAAGAAAGGACCAAGTTATCATTTACGGGTGTGTAATTTTGGATACGTTCGTTTTGTAACTGTGTAGGTCAAGTGCCACGAGGAAGTTGAATTGCCTACTTACAACGCCTATTATCTGTGAGTAATAACTTAGTAAAGTTATGTTCAAATTTAAGTATTTTTTGTATACGAAATAAGATCTGTTGAAAGAAATGCCATGTTTTATACTATAAATGATTGTCCAACAATAACCAGCATATATGGTGCTATGCTATGATTCAAGTATGTTGCAAGTGACATTATGTTATGATTTAAGTATGTTGCAAGTGATATATGCCACAATTCAAGTATGTTATAAGTGACATGATGTTTTGACTCAAGTATGCTGTAAGTTCCCGGACCGGAGGTTCCTAATGGAACTGACAAGCTATCTGTACCCAGCTGGAGGTTCCTAAGTGGAACTGACAAGTTTACAAGTTCCCAGTCTGGAGGTCCCTGTAAGGGACTGACAAGTTATCCTTACCCGGCCGGAGGTTCTTCTATAGAACTGACAAGTATGATTTAAGTCACTCTGTGTGCGATCTATTAGCACTAATGGATGTAATACATAAGAATAAGTATGAACTTTGACTTTTGTCTATATGCTCAGAACGAAAACATGAATGTGAACTTTTATTTCAGCTACGATTAAGGGACATCATTTATATACCCCTTTACTTTGTTATTATTCACTGGGCCTCCGCTCACAATTTATATTATGTATGTAGGTGAGCAAGCGCGTGACCAGGCCTAAATTGCTGCCTGGAGTTTTGTCAGCCAACCTTTGTGCCACCCGAGGAGGTTCCAAAAGAAGTCAAGTTTTTTTTTATGGCTATTTTATAATCATAATAGACTTGGTATGTTTTGTTAAGTCTTGGGCAAGATGTTTGCCATTATACTCCTAGGAGTGATATGTAGCTATTGTGTCTTTGACAATACTCGTAAGTTTATAAAGGTTTTAAATTATACGTCTCATGTATATTTCCACAGCTCAATCGACCACTTATATTTTGTATATTTACTTCTGCAGCCCCTGTTTATATATTATTCTATTCAGAGGCCTTTGATAATCTAAGGATTACTGGCCGGTTACGATGCTAAATTCATAGGGGCGGGTTTGGGTCGTGACAAAAGAAGAGGGCGAACTTCGCGTTCGGACTTCTAGAACCGAACAAAGTAAATTTATTCGGTTTTGAAAGTTTGAATTCGGTTCTGGAAGTCCGAACAATAATGATAGAAAAAAGGTTGAATATTCGCTTTTATGTAAAAAATAAAAAATAAAAAGCACATAAATCAATAATTGTACTTTAATATTTATGTGAATTAGCGTAAAATATGTGTTATGTACAGGTAAGTAACAAAAGGTGATAAACAATATGAAACATGTTAAAAATTAACTAAATATTATGATATTAATTTAGATAGATATTTAAATAATAGATTTGAGTGATTTCAGTATATTTATATAGTTATGCAAGACTAATTCAATTTTTTTGAAATACACTCAACTGGATAAATTCAATTGAAAAGGAAGAGTAAAACTGAAATTCTATAAATATAAGATAAAAATACATTAAAAAAAAATTGAAGTTTAAATTTGAAGATAAACTACAAGAACATAGAAAGATAAAATTAGATAAATTATTGAAAAAGAATAAACTCAATTGAAAATCAAAAGCAAGAGTAGATTTTGTACATATAAGATAAAGATTAAAAAAAAATTAAGTTTAAATTTGAAGATAAACTACAAGAATATAGAAAGAGAAAATTAAATAAATTCTAAAAAAATGAGATAGAGATAAATTCAGTAAATATCAAATGAACATTGAAAAAAAGAAATAAAGTTGAAATTTAAAATTTTAAAAATAAAATAAGATAAACTTGAAAAAAAATCAAATATAACTCTAATAATAGAAGAACGGAAGAGGGCAGTAGTTTAAAAATTGAATAAGAGTGAAATTTCACCTATGATTTTTTAAAATTTGTAAGAAAAATAATTTAAAAAATAAGAACTGATGCATAATTAGTTAAAAATTAAATAAGAGTTTAATGTCACCTATGATTTTTTAAAATTTAATTTCGTGCAGTTAAAAATTAAGTATTTATGATATCTTATTATACACATTTTAACTCTATTTTGTGTCTACCACATATAATATCTAACAATTTTTGTATTCGAAGCTAGAAATCTGATAAAGAAATTTGAATTAAAGTCAAACTGATATTTTGTCTTTAAAATATTTTGAAAATCTCTCATCCATTTCGAATTTGAATTTTGAAATGGATTATATACTTTCAATTTGAAAGTCACAAATCAAGGGATATAAATGGATTAATTACTCTTTTTTTAAAAAATAATTCAATAAAAAATAGCCAATAGAAGATTTTTTAATTATTTAAAAAATAATTGTTTTAAATAAATAGTATGAGAGTTTTGAGTAGGGGTACAACTCGGGCGGGTTCGGTCGGGTTGGGGGTCTGCCCAAGCCCGACCCGAATTGTATTTGGCACTGCCCAAGCCCGACCATGAACCCGAACATTGTTGCCCAAGCCCGGCCCAAGCTTTGTATTTTGAACTCAGGTTGCCCGAATTGCCCGAGTTCAAAAACCTGTAGGTAGATCTAAGGGTAGACATAAAAGATGCTAATCTAATGGTAGAAAACTAACCAAAAAAAAATAAAAAATAAAAATTAAGACTAACTCTTTTACTTAATAGAAGACTAACCAAAAAAAAAATAAAAATTAAGACTAACTCTTTTACTTAATAGAAGACTAACCAAAATAAAAATAAAAATTAAGACTAACTCTTTTACTTAATAGAAGACTAACCAAAATAAAAATAAAAATTAAGACTAACTCTT